TGTGATGTGATGTGATGTGATGTAATCTAATTTTGTATGTAATATAGTGTAACGTAGTGGAATATAGTATGTTGCATTAAGATATACTGTGCTATAATGCATAACATATGATAACATAATATAACGTTATATTTTGTAGCACCAAACCCTGAGCCAAACCGCTGAGGCCCAGGGTGCTGACGCATCTCCAGGGGGCCCGGGGCCAGGGCCTGGGAAACTTGCTGTGCCTTGGCAGGTTTCGAGGTTTAGGGTTTCGGGTTTAGGGTTTAGGGTTTAGGGTTTCGGGTTTAGGGTTTAGGGTTTAGGGTAGGGTTTTTTTAGGGCTTCGGGGGGTTGTTTTTGAGGGCTTCAACGTCGATGGTAGGTCTACAATCTTTCTACAGGGGCTTTTGAAGGGATTCGGGCGTACCGGTCAGTTTTGTTGAATTCGAGTTAGGTGCTGTAGTGCTGAGACTGAGGGTGGGCACAGCAGTGGTAACAAGAGCAACAAGAGGACGTGCTATGACAGTGACAAAACTTTATAAAGCTGGGAAACATACGGACCAAAGCCCTAAACCCTAAACCCTCAACCCTAAACCCTCAACCCCAAACCCCTAAACCCTAAACCCCTAAACCCTAAACCCCTAAACCCCTAAATCCCGTAACCCCTAAACCCTAAACCCTAAACCCCTAAACCCCTAAATCCCTAAACCCCTAAACCCTAAACCCCTAAACCCCTAAATCAGGTAACCCCTAAACCCTAAACCCTAAACCCCTAAACGCCTAAACCCCTAAACCCCTAAACCCCTACACCCTAAACCCTAAAACCTAAGCCCTAAACCCTAAAACCTAAAAGCATGGTGAGGCAAGGTCTGCATTCCGCGCTCCACATTGCAATGATCTCTGGCAGAGCCTTCCGGATGAAGTGGCCGAGGTGCTGAGCCTTCAATTAGGGTTTAGGGTTTAGGGTTTGGGGGTTTTGGGGTTTAGGGTTTAGGGTTGGGAGAATTAAAAAATAGAAGCCTAAGTAATTGCCAACATTACTGTTAGGGTCCCTGAATATAACAATACTACAAAGGAGCCCCAAGCCTTATTCTAATTCTTAAGTCCCCTACTTTAGGATTTCGGCGAAGATTCTTGCATGTTTGTACTGAGGAACCTTTATGCCCTTATACTTCTAGATTGGGGCAGTTCCAATGAAGGAGGCCATCAAAAGGGTGGTCTGAGGTGTCCGCAACTTGGGTTTAAGGGTTTAGGGTTCAGGGTTCAGAGTTAGGATCCAGGGTTTACTGTGGAGTTTAGCATTCCGGGTTTAGGGCTTAGGACAGTTTCGCGTATCGGGAAGGCCTCGTTGCACCAACTTCCCCAAACTTACGTCTGAGACCTTTGAGCCCAAGCCCTAAGGCCCAAGTCGAGCCTCCCAAACGCCAAGCAATGTACCCTAATCCCTAAACCCAGAACCTAAACCCAGCCTCCTTATCCCCAAGCCTTAAAGCCTATCAGCAACCTCGTCTCGAACCCTGGAACCTTCTGAGAGGAGCCTTCAAAGGAACCCTGAAACCCGGCACTCCCACGTGCAGGCTTGAAGACGCTGTCCGGCCACGGTTCCTGAACTGGAAAGATCCGGTGGGATGCAACCTCCCCGCTCACTTTCTACCAAAATTTCTTTCAGGGTAGGGGTTCAGGTTTCCATAAGGGTTTATGGGTTATGGCAGGCTTAGTGGCCCTTGCAGAAGCCTTGTAGAAAGCTGATGTGGAAGGCTTCATCGGTAACGATTTCTATATCAGCAGCCTATAGATTGATAATGTGAGCCTTATTTTCAGGGCTTCCATAATGCAGATGTAAGGTTTCTATCAGGGTAACAGGGTCTCTTTTGGGATTAGTGTGAAGCTCTGGCATTGAGGTTTCCGGGGTTTCTTGCGAAGTGGGCGTTCTAGCTATACCCAACCCTAATCTCGAAGCGTCCCGAACACCGGAATGGCAGAAATCGCAAAAGATGCAGATGCAGAAGACCCTCAACCCTAAACCCCAAGCCCTACACCCTAAGCCCAGGTCCCCAATTCCAGATTCCAACACCAGTAAGTAAACTCCAACGCCCTTGAAACCCTCAAGTCCAAAAGCCCTAGACCCCCGAAGCGCGAAAGCCTTGAGCCTGAAACTTCGAACTCCAAAAAGCCTCTTGCGGCCAACTTCGCCCTTCTCCCTAAACCCCCAACCCAAAATCCGAAACAACCCTACACCCTAAACGCTAAACCCTAAACCCTAAACCCCAAAGCCCCAAAGCCCCAAAACCCCTAAACCCCTGAACCCCCGGAGCGCTAAGCCGGGAGGTGGGAGCCGGTTGCAAGCCGCAGTTGGTGGAGCTTTGGAACTTCGGCCGGTTCCAGGACCGGATCGTCGTCGGTTTAGGGTTTAGGGTGTAAGGGTTTAGGGTTTTAGGGTTTTAGGGTTTTTAGGGTTTTGAGGGTTTAGTGTTTTGGCTTTGGGGTTTAGTGTTTAGGGGTTTGGGTTTAGGCTTTAGGGTCTTGGGCTAGCGGTTTAGGATTTAGAGCCGTCATCATGGGTGTCGTGTTTCCCTAGTATAATATGGGTTTCCATAATAGTATGGGGGTTTCTGCAGTACAATAAGGGTTTCTAGAATGCTATAAGGGTTGGTATACTACTAGTCTTAGCGGTTTCTAAATCTATAATGCAATAGGGGTTTCTATGAGGGTTACCAAAATGCCTTAAGGATTTCCTCTAGAACTACAGGGGTTTCTGTACGGTTGCTTTTGGGGAGGAACCCCGTAAACCCTAAGCCGTAAACCCTGAACCCGAAGCCCGAATCCCGAAGCCCTAAATCCTAAACCCTCCTCGCCAGGATCCCGCGGAAGGGTAGGGTTTGAGGTTTTGGGCTTTCAGGGGTTTTAGGGTGCAGGGTTCAGGGTTGCTTCAGGGTTGCTCCATTCTGATTGCTAAGCAGCTTTATCAAACCCGACGAAAAACCTTATGAACGCTCTTTTGTCACCGTTAAATCAACACCCGGAAAAGTAAAGCCTCATCAACAAGCCCTACATTTTCTAAGGGTTTAGTTCTCAAGGGTTCAGGAAACTCCCACGCCCGGAGGACAACTTTCGCCCGACCCTGACCCTGGCAAATGGCAGCGTTGCCATGATGCATTTCACCGGGAGCCTGGGATGCAGACCCTAATTTGGGAGCCTCAAGAATTACCTGTACTATTTTGGGGGCTCCTTATTCTCATTATAGTATAAAGGGCCCCAGAACCCTATTCTAATTATTTAGGCCCCTATATTAAGCCCTCAACCCTCAACCCTAAACCTGGGATGCGGGAGATAGGCGCGGCAGAGGCCAGCTCAAGGGTTCGGTTCTTGAGAGCGCGTTTGGTGTTGGACTCAGCCCGAAGCCCCAAAAGCCGAGAAGACAACGCTAAACCGCAAGCCCTGAACCCTAAACCCTAAGGCCTAATCCCTAAACCCTAAACCCTAAACCCCTAAACCCCTAAACCCTAAACCCTAAACCCTCTCTAAGCCTTAATCCCTAAACCCAAATGAGAAAATCCTAAAGCCGAATCCCCAAACCCTAAACCCCGAAGAGAAACCCCAAAGACGACCCGATGCCTTCACTTCCTTGGGGCCGCAACAAGTAGGTGCCTATATCCTCATCCCTGAAACCGGCTCTTTAGGGGCTTCTATACGGGTTTTGTAAGAGTTTCTAAGCAGGGTTCCTTTTGAGTTTCGAGAGGGCTTGTACACCATATAAATGTACAATGCTCAAGAAGCCTCGTATGAACCTTTCAAAGGGCCTTTGGAGCAAGCTCTGCTGTGAAACCTTCGGCCCTTCAGGGCACACAGAAGCAGATGTATCTTGTCTTCGTGCCCTTTCAATCTTCGTCCTGAAATCTCTCGTGCCCGGTGCATCTCTGTTCAGTAGGCGCCTTGGCTGTACTAAACCCTAAACCCTAAACCCTAAACGCTTGTTAATATGTGCGTGAGATAGGCAGCAGACACAGAGGCCCAGAAGCTGGCTTTGCACACTTATGGGGGTGCAAGCTGTAGCCTTGAGAGCGTTTGGAGTCGTCGAGACAGGAGGGCGTGTTCCCAAATGTATCTATCATAGAGAATGTTTACAGTAGAATCTACAGTAGATTATCTTGGACCTTACATCCCAAAATGAGAGTTACGGGGGCTTCTTATCATCTACTGCAGATTCTACTGTATCTAGCCTTGTCGATTCTAGCTTTGCAAGCAGGAGACTGTAGAAAGATCCGCTCCATTATAATGAGCGGTTTGCCCAGGAACCAAAGAGCCAGCTCCCGTTGACCCTACGCCTTTCGTCCTCCCTAAGCCATAAGTAAACCCTAAACCCAAAGCCTGAAAGCCAACTTGAGATCTTGCCCAGCCGTTGTAGAACAATCGTTGCTGTGTCTTTTTTATGTGGGTAATTTTCTAAATTAGGGTCCCTTGTTAGGTCCCCAATAGAGTACGGCACCCTTATAAAAAGGACCCCAAAAGGGACCCTAATTTAGAGGACTACCCATGTCGAAGCTGCGGATCTGGAAAGGAACTGGGGCATGCTGCCGCCAAAGTGGGGCAACCTCTCCGGTATAGGCAGCGTCTGCTGTGTTTCCAGTTCTTTGTCACCACATAGGTTCTGTCAAAACCCCAAACCCTAAACCCTAAAACCTCGACCCGAACACCCTGTACCCTTAAACTCCTAAGCATCTGTGAATCACTAAACTCCACGAGAACCCCAAACCCGACAAAACCCGATCAACTCCCAAACAGAATTAAAACCCAGAACCCTAAACCCCTATATCGGGGGCCCTAAACCCTGATAGAGCCCTTGTGAGAATCCGGTTTTAAGCCCCAGGAAGCTTGTATGGAGTTTCAGGTGTCGGGCTCCGTGGCTTTCTGGCTTCAGTCTTTGACGCTTAGGGTTAGCCATGGCTTATCCCCTCAGCGGTTGCGGCTTCAATGGAATTGCATCAGCTGCTTTGCAGCAAGCACGCCCAGGACGTGCAATACCGAGCTTTCTCACTTTTGGCACTTTGCAGAGGGAGTGGAAAGTTACGCCAACATGGGGTGAAGACCGAGACGCTCCTCAGGCAGAAGATGGTGGAAGGCTTGGTGTCCGTCCTCATCCTCCGGCCAAACCACCGAGGCCTTGGCCGTCGGCAACTTGGCAGATGCCCCCGAGCTCAGCTCGGGGACATCGGCCAAGTTGCCTGGCATTGGCCTCTCCGTCGCCTGCCTTTCACTACTAGCACATGACCTCGAAAAAGAAGGCCATCCACGAGCGCGAGGAGTTAGACCATCCTTGGCCTAAGTCCCCGTTCACGATCCTCGCGCTTCCATGTTTCTGAGGTGCTTGCAGCCCTCCACGAGGCCCCGGGGCCTCCCTTGCCTAGCAGCGCGGTTGGCCACAGGCCACATCTCACACCAAACAGATGCCGTCATGAGTAGACATCCCCGAACCTGGCGTCCTGGAGCGAGAAGACGCCGAGTTCAGCCGATGGAAGCCGGCGTCGTACTGACTACGCCGAGCTTTTAAAAAGTGTTGAACAGGCCGAACACGCCGAAGAACGACGGTGCGCGGTGGCACTTGCCACCCTGAAGCAGAAGGGAGGAGGCTGCAGCGAAGAGAGAAGTCAGAGAGCCCGAGGCCAACAGTGTCCGTGGTGTCCGGTTTCTGCAAGTTTTCGCATGTGCCGCAAGTACACACTGTGTACTTACGACACATTGTCGCGAAAAAATGCTGAAGCCGGACACCATGGACACCCTTGGGACACAACACTCGCTGTCTGCAGCAAGTGCTCTGCGGTGCCTCTGCAACACACAGGTTGCTCGTGTGACGTCGTCACGGTCGTGGAGATTAGGGTTTGTCTCTCTTTCCGAGTATGGCTGGAGAGTTCCAGGACAAAGGTCTGGCAGAATAATCGGCATCATCAGCGGGTGCAACGGCTGCTCTCAGAAGATTTCTCACCAGCGGAGTCTTTCTGCGGTAACATGTCTCATGTGTCAAGCAACCCAACTCGTACATCCGGAACCCAATGCACCGGGCCGTGCTGCAGGGCTGCCGGACGTGGGCATCCGCGATGCCTTCCCGCTGCGGGGGCAGGTGGATTTCTCTGTCAACTCTAGGTTGAGCATACTCATAGTCATCGTCATCATCATTTTCATCATTATAATGGTCCACCACCCTGGCCACCATCACCATCACCATCACCATCACCATCCCCGTCGCCATCGCCACCAACATCACCATGATCATCATGATCATCATGATCATCATGATCATCATGATCATCATGATCATCATCATCGTCATCATCGTCATCATCGTCATCATCGTCATCATCGTCATCATCGTCATCATCATCTTCATAATCTTCTTCATCTTCATCTTCATCTTCATCTTCATCTTCATCTTCATCTTC